CCCACCCGCACGTGGCGGTTACCACACACGATACCGACGAAGTTCAATAATAACGATCAGAAGATACCAAGGAGGTGAATCCTCTTCGGCAATCGGAGATTATTTATCAATAGAAAACCAGGAAGGATCAATCAACGCTGCTTGCAACAAGACTAACCGCACGCAAACTGTAGGTGTTATTAGTCCTCAAATCCTTGCACTTTCACTGAAACCACAGACAACCCTACGATGAAGATCTGACCAGTGAAACCGACACCAAAATCTGCAACAGCAAAAAAAAAGGATGATGTTTAGATTTAGATTCCAATCAATCAAGTGGGGGTGCGTGTCCATCTTAGGAGTGACGACCTTATGAATGAAATCATACCTGAAAAGGCAAATATTTGATTTATAAAAGGAGTAAATTTCATGATGTCTATCATAAAAAAAAGCTGCTGATAAGCAAATTAAGTTTATTCTTGAGGTGTCCGTTGCTAATAATGTGTTAGGGAGTATCTACAATAAACATTTAACGAGTCAATCATTATGAATGAATAATCATTGAACCTTATCCTAAAACCAAGATTATAATGGTCTGGATTTTGGAAAATAAATGTAACTGATTCTGACTAGGTATTTCAATGTTTTCTACTATTTAAATAGTTGAAGCTTTTACAGGACATAACAGGACTACAGCCACACAGTTTCATCACACAAGAGGTGATGTTTTGACTTTTGATGTAATGCCATCTGACCATCAAACCATCCCCTGATGAAGCCACTGCAGGGTCGAGTCGTCTTCAATAAAAAGAAGTCACTTCTATGCTCGCGAACGGTTAATTTAGAAATTGGAAAAAAATAAAGGTGTATGTTTGGAGTGCGGTGGAAAGAAAAAGTTACAAGCGTTTGAAATGTGGTGTTACAGACAAATGATTAGGATACCGTGAATATAGAAGGTTATATATAAAGGAGCATTAGAAAGGAGAACAGAGGCAGGATACTTTCTAAGTCAGAGACATATTAGAGGCAGAAACGGGAGTTAAGAGAAGTATAGGTAGACCTAGATTGGATTAGTGTTTGCAAATAGTTAAGGATGTAGATTGTTCTAGAAAATACCACAAATGGCGCGGTAAACGCCATCTATAGTACGATGCTACATTTTAGGATTACATATGTTCCAACAAGGTCCATTTCAATATATGGATATCTACTTATTGAAACGAATCCCGGCGTAGCTAACCTTAACGTGATAGGTACGTTACCATAATCGAATAAAATAATTCGAAGTGGTCTGTATTCTGTCGAAACTGCCAGACGCGGATCGCGATTTCGATCTTTTTGGATCTCATCAGCGTCTGCGATTGTTCTAGTTTTTGAGGAAATACAAAGATTACCTCAGGATAGGAAAGAATGGAAGGGCGTGTCCAATCAGTCTTAGGACTAACAACCTTATGATGAGAAGTTAAAGTTACAAAAGTTCAACTCTACAACCTTTTTCTTTTTTAATGTTAATAGGATTGTCTGGACGATTTGCATACTATGCGCATTGATTTTTATATTTGTAAGGTTGAACCAGGTGTCGCCATTTATAAATAACTTTACTTCCGATTAATAATTAATTTCAGGACAGTTGTTACGGTAAATTTCGCTTGGATGTGTATGGTACGTGTGCTGTGGTACCACGGACCATCCATGTCCGTCGTCATGCTGTTAACGAGCCCAAATCGGCCATCCTGCAGCTGCCGGCTACGCGTAAAGGTTGAAGCTCATGAAACCAAGGTACAATCTACCTATAGGTACCCATACGCATATGTGCATACACAAATATCAACAGCGTACCCGCTGATTTATAATATGGATTGCAAGCTGGACAAAAATTTAATGCTAAAAAGGAAATCACTCATGTCCATGTTCTTTTAAATTTCAAATAATCTTTCAGTTGCCTATACAAAAATTTTTCATATACAGGAAGTCGAAATATGGGCCTTCACTATAATAATAACAAGATATACATTGTACATCATATTAAGACTGTAGAACTGTGTTTGTATTTAGATAATCTTAAAGATTCACACGAAATGGCTAACTGATATTCAAATAAGGGAGTTTTCCTAGTCCAAAATGTTTCACATAAACATTCACCAAATTTACTAATTGTAAGTGACTTTCAATAAATATTAGACAAAGGTACTTAATTGCGGTGTGTTCTAGGGCAATTCTTGAGTGATGTATCATAAAATCTACAGCCCCAAAACTACTCTCTAATTCTTTCTAGCCTGAGTCAATCTTCTCGAAAACCAGGGTAATCTATATTTACTAACAATAACCTAATCCGGAGGTCTACCTCTACCCCTCATTACTCCTGTGTCTGTTTCTAATACATCTCTTATTAGCCCTTCATGTCTAAAAAGGTTGCTATCGAGCTTTTTTCTTATTGATTTCCAAATTAATTAAAATACAAATAAGTATAAGTCGAGTTATTGAAGCTTTCAGATTTGTCTGGTTAAAGTTTTTATTGTTTCGGTCTTATGAAGACGCATTCGGAAAGTGTTTCCATGATTAAGTCAATTTTTGGTTAATTAGCCAGATAATAATTCAAGAGCAAAATGGTCTTTAATTACAGACGCGCGCTTACCCAAAGTAGGTCGCAGCTTTACTTTAAATTTATTTCAAATATTTTAAGCGGTACACGCAATCGAAACCTATCCTTTCAGATTTTTAACCGTACAAAAGATTCTCCGTGGACGATAAACGCTATAATTTACGATTTCCGTAATTTTACACCTTTATTATTGAAACATGCCAATGGTCGGTGAAAGTTTTTCGACTTTATACTTTCCTATTCCTTTTAACTAACTGGGTGACATCGGTTTTCGTTAAAAAAAATGCATTTTTTGATATACAGGGGGTTCATTTTCGGCAAATGTCTTAGATTAAATGGGAAATATATTCAAAATACAAAACTGACCGTAGGTCTTATCTGTACTAGGAGATATTTTCGGTTACTACATATATACATATGCTTTTTTGTTTTAGAGATACTCGACTATTTTCGGAATTGAACTAAAATTCTTGCTGTTATTAAATCGCTCTTTTGAATATAATATAATGGTATAATGCGCTCTTTGATATACCCACGGCAATACTGGTGCAAAATTGTATACTTTTTAATGGACTTTACAAATAAACATAAAATAAAAGCGCGGTAGGGTGTTGGAAGGCGGTATATGTTTTGACGAAAATGGGCTTTTGGTATTAGAAGGAAATTATTCGAAATTTTGGTTCCCTTTTAGCTAATTTTGGTAGTGCGAAATTTTGCTCTTTTCAGTAGTTCGGCAATTTAATTTGCATCGGACTCCCGACTCATGTGGCCCCATTTTCTGGTTAAGCATTTCTTGTATTGTAGGTATATATAAAAAATTACGCATTATTTAGAAATGTCCTAACACTCTCTAGCCTGTACTTAATTTTCTCTTAGGATTAGAAAGTGTTTATTATTAATAAATTCGTTGGATTCGTGTGAAAAATTTTAAACATAATTGTTATAAACGTAGCTTTACGATTCAATGAAATGTGATTGGAGGTAAAAGAAAATAACACCAGATGGAGAATGGTAGAAATACGTATTAAAACCTAGGAACGAATAATGACAAACAACCCTCTCAAATATTATAGATAATTATTATGAGAATCGGTTACAATTTCACTCAAATTCCTTTCATAAATCATAATAGCTTCGAGAAAGCAGAGCGTCTTTAGAATAAAAATGGGAGTGCAGCTACCCTTTTATACATAAAATATTATACTACTAAAATTCAACAGAACTGAATATTATATTCTTCAAATTTATAATAATACCTTTAACACCTTATCAACCATAGGCGTTCATTGCTCCTGATCTCAGAACGGAAAATTCAAACGTCGCATCGTAGCTATAAAAACCGACTCTATCAGCTTCTTTAATGATATGAGAAATAAAAATTTATAAGGTCAACGTATATTACCATGCATGTATTGTGGCGACTCCTTACTGTTACTTTCATCAATAAACCGTCAACTTTAATTGTTATTAATTATTAAAAAACATCTTTACATCTGGCTGGATTACTATCTACAGAGATAAACAGAAGATTGCACAGGCTCGAGTCGTATTTAACAAAAAAAGTCACTTCTATACTCAGGTACGGTTCATTTAGAAATTCGAAGAAGATTGTTAATGGTGTATGTCTGGAGAACGACGCTATACGGGTGCGAAACGTGGACGGTGGGCACGACGAAATAGAAAAGGTTAGAAACATTCGAAATATGATGTTACAGGCGAATGATGAGGATAGAGATAGTTAGAAATGAAAGTATATTAAAAAGAGTAGGAGAACAGAGGGCGCTATGGTAATTAATAAGAAATAGGTGAGATAGGTTGGTAGGACACTTTCTAAGACATGAAAGGCTAGTAAGAGAGATATACTTCATTTGCTTCTCTTCATACAGTACCTGCCAAAAGTTTTGTTCAATCATGAATAATAGTGCGAGTCGAAAACAAGCGTTAAAGCCTTTAATATGTCTTCAAATATAAATAAACATCTCTTTGATATTTTTAGTAGTAAATGGTACCAATAACAGCACATTTGAGCAATGCAATTGTAGTGGATAAAATGGTGAATTTTTCCGTGCAGTACTGTACGGATTATACGCTCCTCACCGGTTAAGAGTTTGGCCGAGAGTTGTCTCCTTTCTTTTCTGGCCTAGTGCTGTTCTTTACTACTTTGCGTCGGTCACATTGCTACAGAAAGTAAACGAAGTATATTAGAAGTAGAAATAGAAGTTAAGAGTAGAGGTAGACCTCGATTAGATTAGATTACCTCTTACAAATAGTTAAAGATCTGGGATTCAGGAAAAAAAAGTGAAGATTAGCTCGGGATAAGAAACAGTGGAGGTGCGTGTCCAACCAACTTAAGGACTGACGACCCTATGATGATGATGACTACGAAAATTTCTTAGTTGTTTATTTCTTCACACAACACTTTAAAAATTCAAATATTTATTTATAAGTACAACAATACAAACAAGTTTTAATTGTATAAAAATATGTGATAATTAACATCTTCACTTTTATGGCAGTGTATCGAAAATAAAAACAATAAAGAAACAATTTATTATTATCGTTATTAATCAACGCATTGATTGCTTCGGATCCGAGCCAAATTTTCGGTGACTAGAAGACGATATTAAAAAAAAAAAGGAAGGGAGTAAAACTGAAGGAATGTGCTGTTACATAATTTATAGATGAAAGATTCGTTCAGCAACGAGAAGTATAAAAGAGACGTAGTTTTAAGTAATACAAATTTAATTTAGCACGTATTTGCGTATATAAGAAGTTGATTTAAGCGTCGATAAATTTTACAATAAGTTAAATAAATCCCTATGTATATTTCGCAAATTGTAGAATCTTAGAAATAACACGTGTATTTACTACCCTTAAATTAAATATTATACAAAATTTTACAATGCTTATAGACTTACATAAATAACGATGGCACGGCAGTGTACAAGTAATTAATAGTTAGGATAAAAAAGCCACCTATTGATTGATCAAAGTTAATCGCGTTTAACAGCAATAGTAGCAATTGCAATTGATGGTACAAACACTTGAACACAATTTGGTCTTTAATATTTTAACTTATGTTCTTGTCGTTTTTATACAAACTTGACACCTGCTCACGCGGTCTCTAACATTACCAGCCTTTAACGTTTGTTTCTGTGGTACCTGGAATTGTTGGCTCTCGTCGATCGTTGCCAACCAGAAACTTAGCGAATCGGCGAAATAGTGGCAAGTTCCCTTAGCCCCGTTGCATTCTATGAACGGCGAAGCGCGGAAATCTTCCAGACACGATCCTGGGCTAGATAGACCTTGGCCACCTCCTTCGGCACCGGCGGCAGTGTGCTGTAATAAAAACATTGTTTTAACACCCGTGAAGTAATTAGAAAGATCCAAATAATACTCACCATTGTGAAACTGTAGCCTATCCACAAACTGGTCCAACCAACCGGACACTCGGGTAGAGTTAGAGACTGGCTGTGAACTGCGATCACGTTAGCGGGAGCCTCGCAAACGACACATCGGGAAATGTAATCTCTTATGGCCGTTTCCTCTACCGGCATCATTGGTATTGGAGCGGTTGTTGACAACCAATAAGATTTGTCGTTTCGATTTGCATAACTGCACACGTTGTTAAAGTCGCAGAATAGGAACGGCAATGTCGAAAATTTCCTAACGCATGAACCAGCATGACCCAAGTCTTGCGAATGTGCTTTCTCGTTTCCTTCAATGTAGAGTAACGAATATCCTTCCCATAATTTTATATGTCCCGGTTCGCACGACGGCACTTCTATCGATTGACTGTGCCTTACTAGCAAAATTCCTGTCAGATAGTCCGGCGTCTGTTCACAGGGAGCTCCCGGTTGACCAATCGGACCCGGCTCTCCCCTAGGGCCGATAGCACCAGCTATTCCATCGAAACCACGATCTCCTTTAGGACCTTGAGGACCTACAGGACCGGGAGCTCCGTTTCTTCCTGGGAATCCTTTTTCTCCAGGTGGTCCCGGAAAACCTGGAGGGCCATCCAATCCAGGTGGACCTATTTCTCCTGGTAATCCAGCAAGACCGGGAGGACCTCTATTTCCTTTTGGCCCAGGTCTTCCTGGTAACGCAGCTTCACCTTTATCGCCTTTCTCTCCAACATGTCCCTGTAAGCCTACCGGACCTTGAGGTCCGGGAAATCCTTTGTCGCCGATGGGACCAGGAAGTCCAGGTGCACCTGGAATCCCATCAAATCCTCTATCGCCCTTAGGTCCAGGTCTTCCAGGAGGCCCTTGTAACCCTGTGAGTCCCCTGTCCCCTTTTTGTCCGGGAGCTCCTGCGAATCCTGGTGGTCCTATATCTCCCTTATCGCCTGGTAATCCCGGAATACCATCTAAGCCATCCTTTCCAGGAGCGCCATCTCTTCCTGGTGGACCCGGAATCCCTGGAAAACCGCGATCTCCTTTTTCTCCCTGTTGTCCAACTGGTCCGGGCAATCCTGGACTTCCAGCTATACCAGGTAAACCAGGCAAACCTCGATCACCTTTTTCTCCCGAAGTTCCAGGTATTCCGTCTCTACCATGTTTTCCTGGCAACCCTGGTAAGCCTTTTTCGCCCTTTATAGTATTGCCAGGTCGTCCTTCCGGACCAGGGAATCCTCTGTCGCCTACATTTTCAAGAAAAACATTAATATTTAGAAGTAATATTGGATATTTAGTATTCGTTAAATTTAATGAGATATTCATTTTTATTTTTNTTTATAGGAAACACCTTTTCGTCGCCTAATTTTCTTATGAAATTCTGAAAAACTAGCAATCTTATTAACAATAGAAATTTACAAAACTTTAAGACTCCTAAAAGGATTATCTAACGTTAACCACTAAATTTCGTTTATTTATGTATATATATACGTAATGTTTATATTTTTTCTAATTATTTAGCACTAGCTAAAAAAGGTTTTCGTATGTGGGGTTTGTTGCGGTTACCACGTATGCTTAAATTTCCAATGCACAAAATACGGTGGATGTTTTATATCGAATGTGTCGAAGCCCATGTTTTCGTGCATCTGTTATGGCATTAACCACGTGTTGTCCCCGTCCTTATTCCACTCGAATGAACTTTAACGTTTTTTTAAATTATTACAATTAAACGTTTTTTAAATTACCATAAGCAGGGAGAAGACTTAAAAGCGACGCCGAGGCACGAATAAATTAAAAAGGGACAGTTTGCTACTAAATTACCCCTGCAAGGATAAACAATGCTCAATGATTACTAAATATGATCATTATTTTACATTTAATTGTAGAAATGGAAAAACAATCCTCTTTCTCTCCTCAATCCAATATGTGCTTCCAAATCCTCATATTAACGAAACTCTTCCAAAACATTTCATTCTTCCTTGAATATAAGATGTTATTAAGTGTTATTTGCTGCAAATTTCATGATCATAAATTATTTCTTTTGGAAATTATTTTTGTCAGATGGACGGTTACCTACTTATAAATAACGAAAAATTATAAATTAAGAGGTATTAGAACGAATAGGATAAGACAGGACTCTAATCGGTAAGAAATAGGCAAAATAGGTTGGTAGGACACCTTCTCAGGCGTGAAGGTTTAGTCAGAGACATATTAGAAGCAGAAACAGGAATTAAGAGGAGCAGAGGTAGACCTCGATTAGATTAATGTTCACAAATAGTTAAGGATGTGGGATGTTTTAGTTTTAGGCAAATGCGAAGATTAGCTCAAGATAGGAAATAGTGGAGGTGCATGTCCGACCACTCTTAGGACTGACGACCTTATGATGATGACTTGTCCTATTGCTAATATCACTTATAAAATATTACCCCTTATAATTCAAATGTCACCTGTCTTCTTTTTGTCTTAACAATTTCCGTTTGCATGTTTTTTGAACGACAATTTCAAGTTCAAGTTCCTATTATATAAGAATCAGCTTTTTACTTTTCTCCTAATGGGGGTTAGCTGAATTTAAATAAATGTCTTTAACACAGGGGTTCGATATCCGTGAGAACTGAGGACGAAACATATAAACAGTTCTCCTCCATTAGTCGAATAGATACCCAACTTCTAAATATACACTTTCCCTTTAAAACCGAATTTTATTGTGTAGCATAAATACGTAGACACGTAATAATAAGTATGAGGTCGAAGGAAATTCTTTTTACACCTGCTGTTGACGATCGGTTTGTGTTGTTTCAACGTTTTAAAACAGAGAGGACAAACCGGAAATAGCAAAAGGGCGCCTAATCTAAACTTTTTATACCTACGATATCTAAGTGTACGTGATGTTTCACGAAGTTCACAACGCAATAAAGAAAGTAGGTAGGTATATTACTTGACACTTGTGAGGTCTTACCTGGCACTTCACCTAAAACAAAGAAGAAATATTTATTTCGAAAAAATTTACGATTTATTAACCTACAGTCCTTCAGCTATTAAACTAAGTTGAAATTTTAAATATAATAATAAAAATCAGAATCGGCCGCTTAGAAATTGACTTGTGAAATTTGGTGTCTACATATTAGGACAAACAGGAAAGCAATTTAAGAAAGGACTCAAAGAACATAATGGTTAAATAGTTATAGAAATAAATAACGATTAACTGGAGATTATTAAACTGAAATTCAACAATTTGCTCTAACACATGACAATAATACATCATCACCTGATGAATGTACTTTCCAGCGAAACATTTGCGATGCGATTAACTAAATTATTTGAGACCAATAACGATGAATCTTTTTCATATCATTCAATACTTTCTTCATTTCATTCTTGTTTCCTTATAATTATTTTCTGCCTGAACAATCTTGATCCACACGATTAAGTGACAAAAAATAATCAATCCCTTTCTCATTAAAGATATAGGTATGTCGTATATCATTGTCATCCGATTTAGTTGTTTTCGACAAAATCCAATGTATTCTTTTTTGTTTTTGGAATAAACGGTTAAAGTTCTGACCAAATGAAATGTGAGGTCTAGTGTCATCGATCTAATTAAAGAGACGGTATATTAAGTAAACTACAAACTTGAATTGGAAGCGCTAAGAATGTGTAACTCTCTACTTAAACACCTATGTATCATGCATATAGGTACGAGTGAGTGCAGGTGCAAGGGGGCACCTGCTGCACAGGTGCCCCACCCGCACGTGGCGGTTACCACACACGATACCGACGAAGTTCAATAATAACGATCAGAAGATACCAAGGAGGTGAATCCTCTTCGGCAATCGGAGATTATTTATCAATAGAAAACCAGGAAGGATCAATCAACGCTGCTTGCAACAAGACTAACCGCACGCAAACTGTAGGTGTTATTAGTCCTCAAATCCTTGCACTTTCACTGAAACCACAGACAACCCTACGATGAAGATCTGACCAGTGAAACCGACACCAAAATCTGCAACAGCAAAAAAAAAGGATGATGTTTAGATTTAGATTCCAATCAATCAAGTGGGGGTGCGTGTCCATCTTAGGAGTGACGACCTTATGAATGAAATCATACCTGAAAAGGCAAATATTTGATTTATAAAAGGAGTAAATTTCATGATGTCTATCATAAAAAAAAGCTGCTGATAAGCAAATTAAGTTTATTCTTGAGGTGTCCGTTGCTAATAATGTGTTAGGGAGTATCTACAATAAACATTTAACGAGTCAATCATTATGAATGAATAATCATTGAACCTTATCCTAAAACCAAGATTATAATGGTCTGGATTTTGGAAAATAAATGTAACTGATTCTGACTAGGTATTTCAATGTTTTCTACTATTTAAATAGTTGAAGCTTTTACAGGACATAACAGGACTACAGCCACACAGTTTCATCACACAAGAGGTGATGTTTTGACTTTTGATGTAATGCCATCTGACCATCAAACCATCCCCTGATGAAGCCACTGCAGGGTCGAGTCGTCTTCAATAAAAAGAAGTCACTTCTATGCTCGCGAACGGTTAATTTAGAAATTGGAAAAAAATAAAGGTGTATGTTTGGAGTGCGGTGGAAAGAAAAAGTTACAAGCGTTTGAAATGTGGTGTTACAGACAAATGATTAGGATACCGTGAATATAGAAGGTTATATATAAAGGAGCATTAGAAAGGAGAACAGAGGCAGGATACTTTCTAAGTCAGAGACATATTAGAGGCAGAAACGGGAGTTAAGAGAAGTATAGGTAGACCTAGATTGGATTAGTGTTTGCAAATAGTTAAGGATGTAGATTGTTCTAGAAAATACCACAAATGGCGCGGTAAACGCCATCTATAGTACGATGCTACATTTTAGGATTACATATGTTCCAACAAGGTCCATTTCAATATATGGATATCTACTTATTGAAACGAATCCCGGCGTAGCTAACCTTAACGTGATAGGTACGTTACCATAATCGAATAAAATAATTCGAAGTGGTCTGTATTCTGTCGAAACTGCCAGACGCGGATCGCGATTTCGATCTTTTTGGATCTCATCAGCGTCTGCGATTGTTCTAGTTTTTGAGGAAATACAAAGATTACCTCAGGATAGGAAAGAATGGAAGGGCGTGTCCAATCAGTCTTAGGACTAACAACCTTATGATGAGAAGTTAAAGTTACAAAAGTTCAACTCTACAACCTTTTTCTTTTTTAATGTTAATAGGATTGTCTGGACGATTTGCATACTATGCGCATTGATTTTTATATTTGTAAGGTTGAACCAGGTGTCGCCATTTATAAATAACTTTACTTCCGATTAATAATTAATTTCAGGACAGTTGTTACGGTAAATTTCGCTTGGATGTGTATGGTACGTGTGCTGTGGTACCACGGACCATCCATGTCCGTCGTCATGCTGTTAACGAGCCCAAATCGGCCATCCTGCAGCTGCCGGCTACGCGTAAAGGTTGAAGCTCATGAAACCAAGGTACAATCTACCTATAGGTACCCATACGCATATGTGCATACACAAATATCAACAGCGTACCCGCTGATTTATAATATGGATTGCAAGCTGGACAAAAATTTAATGCTAAAAAGGAAATCACTCATGTCCATGTTCTTTTAAATTTCAAATAATCTTTCAGTTGCCTATACAAAAATTTTTCATATACAGGAAGTCGAAATATGGGCCTTCACTATAATAATAACAAGATATACATTGTACATCATATTAAGACTGTAGAACTGTGTTTGTATTTAGATAATCTTAAAGATTCACACGAAATGGCTAACTGATATTCAAATAAGGGAGTTTTCCTAGTCCAAAATGTTTCACATAAACATTCACCAAATTTACTAATTGTAAGTGACTTTCAATAAATATTAGACAAAGGTACTTAATTGCGGTGTGTTCTAGGGCAATTCTTGAGTGATGTATCATAAAATCTACAGCCCCAAAACTACTCTCTAATTCTTTCTAGCCTGAGTCAATCTTCTCGAAAACCAGGGTAATCTATATTTACTAACAATAACCTAATCCGGAGGTCTACCTCTACCCCTCATTACTCCTGTGTCTGTTTCTAATACATCTCTTATTAGCCCTTCATGTCTAAAAAGGTTGCTATCGAGCTTTTTTCTTATTGATTTCCAAATTAATTAAAATACAAATAAGTATAAGTCGAGTTATTGAAGCTTTCAGATTTGTCTGGTTAAAGTTTTTATTGTTTCGGTCTTATGAAGACGCATTCGGAAAGTGTTTCCATGATTAAGTCAATTTTTGGTTAATTAGCCAGATAATAATTCAAGAGCAAAATGGTCTTTAATTACAGACGCGCGCTTACCCAAAGTAGGTCGCAGCTTTACTTTAAATTTATTTCAAATATTTTAAGCGGTACACGCAATCGAAACCTATCCTTTCAGATTTTTAACCGTACAAAAGATTCTCCGTGGACGATAAACGCTATAATTTACGATTTCCGTAATTTTACACCTTTATTATTGAAACATGCCAATGGTCGGTGAAAGTTTTTCGACTTTATACTTTCCTATTCCTTTTAACTAACTGGGTGACATCGGTTTTCGTTAAAAAAAATGCATTTTTTGATATACAGGGGGTTCATTTTCGGCAAATGTCTTAGATTAAATGGGAAATATATTCAAAATACAAAACTGACCGTAGGTCTTATCTGTACTAGGAGATATTTTCGGTTACTACATATATACATATGCTTTTTTGTTTTAGAGATACTCGACTATTTTCGGAATTGAACTAAAATTCTTGCTGTTATTAAATCGCTCTTTTGAATATAATATAATGGTATAATGCGCTCTTTGATATACCCACGGCAATACTGGTGCAAAATTGTATACTTTTTAATGGACTTTACAAATAAACATAAAATAAAAGCGCGGTAGGGTGTTGGAAGGCGGTATATGTTTTGACGAAAATGGGCTTTTGGTATTAGAAGGAAATTATTCGAAATTTTGGTTCCCTTTTAGCTAATTTTGGTAGTGCGAAATTTTGCTCTTTTCAGTAGTTCGGCAATTTAATTTGCATCGGACTCCCGACTCATGTGGCCCCATTTTCTGGTTAAGCATTTCTTGTATTGTAGGTATATATAAAAAATTACGCATTATTTAGAAATGTCCTAACACTCTCTAGCCTGTACTTAATTTTCTCTTAGGATTAGAAAGTGTTTATTATTAATAAATTCGTTGGATTCGTGTGAAAAATTTTAAACATAATTGTTATAAACGTAGCTTTACGATTCAATGAAATGTGATTGGAGGTAAAAGAAAATAACACCAGATGGAGAATGGTAGAAATACGTATTAAAACCTAGGAACGAATAATGACAAACAACCCTCTCAAATATTATAGATAATTATTATGAGAATCGGTTACAATTTCACTCAAATTCCTTTCATAAATCATAATAGCTTCGAGAAAGCAGAGCGTCTTTAGAATAAAAATGGGAGTGCAGCTACCCTTTTATACATAAAATATTATACTACTAAAATTCAACAGAACTGAATATTATATTCTTCAAATTTATAATAATACCTTTAACACCTTATCAACCATAGGCGTTCATTGCTCCTGATCTCAGAACGGAAAATTCAAACGTCGCATCGTAGCTATAAAAACCGACTCTATCAGCTTCTTTAATGATATGAGAAATAAAAATTTATAAGGTCAACGTATATTACCATGCATGTATTGTGGCGACTCCTTACTGTTACTTTCATCAATAAACCGTCAACTTTAATTGTTATTAATTATTAAAAAACATCTTTACATCTGGCTGGATTACTATCTACAGAGATAAACAGAAGATTGCACAGGCTCGAGTCGTATTTAACAAAAAAAGTCACTTCTATACTCAGGTACGGTTCATTTAGAAATTCGAAGAAGATTGTTAATGGTGTATGTCTGGAGAACGACGCTATACGGGTGCGAAACGTGGACGGTGGGCACGACGAAATAGAAAAGGTTAGAAACATTCGAAATATGATGTTACAGGCGAATGATGAGGATAGAGATAGTTAGAAATGAAAGTATATTAAAAAGAGTAGGAGAACAGAGGGCGCTATGGTAATTAATAAGAAATAGGTGAGATAGGTTGGTAGGACACTTTCTAAGACATGAAAGGCTAGTAAGAGAGATATACTTCATTTGCTTCTCTTCATACAGTACCTGCCAAAAGTTTTGTTCAATCATGAATAATAGTGCGAGTCGAAAACAAGCGTTAAAGCCTTTAATATGTCTTCAAATATAAATAAACATCTCGTTGATATTTTCAGTAGTAAATGGTACCAATAACAGCACATTTGAGCAATGCAATNGGAAACGAGAAAGCACATTCGCAAGACTTGGGTCATGCTGGTTCATGCGTTAGGAAATTTTCGACATTGCCGTTCCTATTCTGCGACTTTAACAACGTGTGCAGTTATGCAAATCGAAACGACAAATCTTATTGGTTGTCAACAACCGCTCCAATACCAATGATGCCGGTAGAGGAAACGGCCATAAGAGATTACATTTCCCGATGTGTCGTTTGCGAGGCTCCCGCTAACGTGATCGCAGTTCACAGCCAGTCTCTAACTCTACCCGAGTGTCCGGTTGGTTGGACCAGTTTGTGGATAGGCTACAGTTTCACAATGGTGAGTATTATTTGGATCTTTCTAATTACTTCACGGGTGTTAAAACAATGTTTTTATTACAGCACACTGCCGCCGGTGCCGAAGGAGGTGGCCAAGGTCTATCTAGCCCAGGATCGTGTCTGGAAGATTTCCGCGCTTCGCCGTTCATAGAATGCAACGGGGCTAAGGGAACTTGCCACTATTTCGCCGATTCGCTAAGTTTCTGGTTGGCAACGATCGACGAGAGCCAACAATTCCAGGTACCACAGAAACAAACGTTAAAGGCTGGTAATGTTAGAGACCGCGTGAGCAGGTGTCAAGTTTGTATAAAAACGACAAGAACATAAGTTAAAATATTAAAGACCAAATTGTGTTCAAGTGTTTGTACCATCAATTGCAATTGCTACTATTGCTGTTAAACGCGATTAACTTTGATCAATCAATAGGTGGCTTTTTTATCCTAACTATTAATTACTTGTACACTGCCGTGCCATCGTTATTTATGTAAGTCTATAAGCATTGTAAAATTTTGTATAATATTTAATTTAAGGGTAGTAAATACACGTGTATTTACTACCCTTAAATTAAATATTATACAAAATTTTACAATGCTTATAGACTTACATAAATAACGATGGCACGGCAGTGTACAAGTAATTAATAGTTAGGATAAAAAAGCCACCTATTGATTGATCAAAGTTAATCGCGTTTAACAGCAATAGTAGCAATTGCAATTGATGGTACAAACACTTGAACACAATTTGGTCTTTAATATTTTAACTTATGTTCTTGTCGTTTTTATACAAACTTGACACCTGCTCACGCGGTCTCTAACATTACCAGCCTTTAACGTTTGTTTCTGTGGTACCTGGAATTGTTGGCTCTCGTCGATCGTTGCCAACCAGAAACTTAGCGAATCGGCGAAATAGTGGCAAGTTCCCTTAGCCCCGTTGCATTCTATGAACGGCGAAGCGCGGAAATCTTCCAGACACGATCCTGGGCTAGATAGACCTTGGCCACCTCCTTCGGCACCGGCGGCAGTGTGCTGTAATAAAAACATTGTTTTAACACCCGTGAAGTAATTAGAAAGATCCAAATAATACTCACCATTGTGAAACTGTAGCCTATCCACAAACTGGTCCAACCAACCGGACACTCGGGTAGAGTTAGAGACTGGCTGTGAACTGCGATCACGTTAGCGGGAGCCTCGCAAACGACACATCGGGAAATGTAATCTCTTATGGCCGTTTCCTCTACCGGCATCATTGGTATTGGAGCGGTTGTTGACAACCAATAAGATTTGTCGTTTCGATTTGCATAACTGCACACGTTGTTAAAGTCGCAGAATAGGAACGGCAATGTCGAAAATTTCCTAACGCATGAACCAGCATGACCCAAGTCTTGCGAATGTGCTTTCTCGTTTCCTTCAATGTAGAGTAACGAATATCCTTCCCATAATTTTATATGTCCCGGTTCGCACGACGGCACTTCTATCGATTGACTGTGCCTTACTAGCAAAATTCCTGTCAGATAGTCCGGCGTCTGTTCACAGGGAGCTCCCGGTTGACCAATCGGACCCGGCTCTCCCCTAGGGCCGATAGCACCAGCTATTCCATCGAAACCACGATCTCCTTTAGGACCTTGAGGACCTACAGGACCGGGAGCTCCGTTTCTTCCTGGGAATCCTTTTTCTCCAGGTGGTCCCGGAAAACCTGGAGGGCCATCCAATCCAGGTGGACCTATTTCTCCTGGTAATCCAGCAAGACCGGGAGGACCTCTATTTCCTTTTGGCCCAGGTCTTCCTGGTAACGCAGCTTCACCTTTATCGCCTTTCTCTCCAACATGTCCCTGTAAGCCTACCGGACCTTGAGGTCCGGGAAATCCTTTGTCGCCGATGGGACCAGGAAGTCCAGGTGCACCTGGAATCCCATCAAATCCTCTATCGCCCTTAGGTCCAGGTCTTCCAGGAGGCCCTTGTAACCCTGTGAGTCCCCTGTCCCCTTTTTGTCCGGGAGCTCCTGCGAATCCTGGTGGTCCTATATCTCCCTTATCGCCTGGTAATCCCGGAATACCATCTAAGCCATCCTTTCCAGGAGCGCCATCTCTTCCTGGTGGACCCGGAATCCCTGGAAAACCGCGATCTCCTTTTTCTCCCTGTTGTCCAACTGGTCCGGGCAATCCTGGACTTCCAGCTATACCAGGTAAACCAGGCAAACCTCGATCACCTTTTTCTCCCGAAGTTCCAGGTATTCCGTCTCTACCATGTTTTCCTGGCAACCCTGGTAAGCCTTTTTCGCCCTTTATAGTATTGCCAGGTCGTCCTTCCGGACCAGGGAATCCTCTGTCGCCTACATTTTCAAGAAAAACATTAATATTTAGAAGTAATATTGGATATTTAGTATTCGTTAAATTTAATGAGATATTCATTTTTATTTTTAAATAAAAATTTAATAAAATCATATTTCACATTGTTGGTTACCTTTCATTCCTGGTAATCCAGGGAACCCTGCGTTTCCTTTAGGTCCTGGAAAACCTTGATCTCCCTTTTCTCCCGGTAGACCAGGCAAACCGTCTTCTCCCGGACTACCTCTTTCGCCACTTTCTCCAAATAATCCGGGAGGCCCAATCTCTCCTTTACTTCCTTTAACAGTAAGTACTGGTCCCGGTGGACCGCGATCACCTGGTACTCCAACAGGTCCTGGTGGACCAAAAGGACCGGGGGGTCCAGGTAGCCCAGCCTCACCTTTAGGTCCGTTTAATCCGTCTCTTCCAGGAAGACCAGCGTCACCTTTAATACAAATAGCACAATCGGTTCAAAATATATGCCATTTAAAATGTCCTTTTGATTGATTTATTTAATTTTATACATTTTGAACAGCAACAAGTACACGCATTACATCTATTGATGCTCAGAATAAATTTTTTTGATGTTTGAATACCTTTTAGACCAGGAAAACCAGCCGGTCCGGGAAATCCAAGGTCGCCTTTATCCCCTGGTACTCCGTCCATGCCAGCCAAACCGGGTTCACCTCTCTGTCCAGGAAAACCAGTATCACCCTTAGGTCCAGGAAAGCCAGGTAACCCCCTGTCGCCCTTGTCTCCTGTGGAACCAGGTATGCCATCAAATCCAGGCAATCCATAGTCTCCTTTATCTCCTGGTATTCCGGGAATTCCTATTCCTGGTAATCCTTGTTCTCCTTTATCTCCAGGTATTCCGTTTCTGCCTGGTAAACCAGCTGAACCTCTTAAGCCAGGAATTCCTGGTTCGCCTTTCTGGCCTTTCTCAGAAACATCGCCAGGTTCCCCTTTTGGACCTAAAAATCAGAAGTGAATGAATTGTATGTTTCCAAAAACATATTATTAAAATATCTCATATTCACACGTATGCTTTTGCATAAACTATGTCTATCACTATTAAGTAATAATGTAATGTCTCAAATTTTTAAATAATAAAAACGTTAGGTTGAACCCAACTAAAGTATCTGTTTTGTATCAGGTAACACAAGACAAGATTTGAAGATCCGTATGATCGAAAGCGAAATGTCAACAACAAACTACCCAGAATGTTAAATTTCCCAATAAAAGCGTTTGTTTGTTATCATAAGTACCTGGCGGTCCGTTAAAACCTGCATCGCCTTTGTCCCCGTCTTGTCCGGGTCTTCCCATTGGTCCTGGAGGTCCGGGGTAACCGACATCTCCCTTTTCACCTTGTGGACCTGGTGGACCCATAAGACCAGCAATACCGGGAAATCCGGGAGCCCCAGGGTATCCTCGATCGCCTTTGTCGCCAGGAAGGCCTGGTGTACCATCCTTACCTGCTTGGCCTTCGGGACCCGGAAATCCGCGAGGACCAGGAAAGCCTTTCGGACCATCAATACCTATCACCCCTGGTTCACCCTTAATACCCGGAAAGCCGGGTACCCCGCGCCTTCCCTCTTCTCCTTTTATTCCTGGTTCACCTTTAGGGCCGTCTAAGCCAGGTCGGCCACCAATACCCGGAAGCCCTGGAGGTCCCATCGGTCCTGTATCTCCTTTATCTCCCGGATGTCCAGGCAAGCCATTTAATCCAGGAGGACCCACGTCACCTAATCCGTAAAATGTGCAATAAGTGTAAAGTTTGATATGTTATAAAAATGGCAAAACTATTCATAAAATTAATCACAATTACTCTAATACATTCTTATATCGTATTTGATTTGATGCGACATCATCACCCTTCATAATAAGTATTAAACCGTATCACACACATTTATAAGGAAATCTTAACCATGTCCATTGTTAGTTGATTAAATAAACTCGGAATTCTACAATGTTTCGTAATCGTTTTAATAAAAATGTGTTACACATTCGTCAAGGATTAATTCCGTTTAGCAATGAAGAAATCAATGCGTTACATAAATATAAATATACAGAATCATTTCCAACTTCCGCAGATGACGTAACTTACCTTTTTCACCCATTAATCCAGTTAAACCAGGACTTCCGTTTGCTCCAGGTTTTCCAGGAAAACCTATTAAACCTTTTTCACCTTTAGGTCCCATTGGGCCAGGTAAACCACGGGGCCCAGGAGTAGGAATCCCAGGTTCTCCTTTATCGCCTCTTGGTCCATCACGTCCAGGGAATCCTCTTGGTCCATCTTTACCGGGTTCTCCCGGAAATCCCATAGGGCCCACGTCTCCTTTTTCTCCCCTTGGTCCTGGTAGTCCTCTAGGTCCAACAGGTCCGGGAAGACCATTTTGACCGGGTGGTCCATTTTCGCCAGGAAGCCCTCTTCTACCCGGTTCTCCTGGTAAGCCTGCAACTCCTTGCGGGCCAGGTTCACCTTTATCCCCAGGCAAACCTCTGGCACCCTTTCGAAGTGCTTGTGGAATTTCGGGGCACTGGCCTGGCGTTCCCTTTACGCCCTCTCGTCCAGGTTCGCCTTTATTTCCTTTAACGCCTGGTATTCCTGGATAACCTTGTTCACCCTTGATGCTTAATCCTTTTTCTCCTTTGACACCTGGTATACCTGGGTTTCCGTCTCTGCCATCACTTCCAGGTACTCCAGGAAAGCCAGTGTCACCTTTTTGACCTGGGAACCCAGGTAAGCCACTGGGTCCTGGCAGCCCCTGTGGACCGACGGGTCCTACTGGACCAGGTGGTCCAGGAAAGCCTCTTTCACCTTTGTCTCCTTTTGGTATTACTATCAAACTATCAGGAATCATTGCTGCTTCACCTTTCTCTCCTGGTACTCCTGGAGGTCCGTTGTAACCGTCATTTCCCTGCAATTAAAAGTTAAAGAATGTAGTGGTTGCAGAATTGAATTCATTCGTAAAAATAGGTCGAATTCTTGTGATGAAGTATACTGCCTTCCTTAATCCTGGCATATTTACACCACATATAATTTATAATTTAACCTTCTACAATCATTTAATCCTATTTTACGATCAGTTAATTAAAAATGTACATTTACAATGTACAAATTCAATAGACGTTAAACATGTTTAATTTTGAATAACGTAATTAGTAAAAATATTTATTTTGCCAAACTAAGCTCTTTTGTATAGTAATAGTAACACGAATATAATAGACTTTTATGGCTTACTCGTTGGCCTGGAGGCCCCGACAATCCTGGTAACCCGTCAGCACCTGGTTCTCCGGGGAAGCCCATTTCACCGGGTGGTCCTCGTGGCCCTGGCGTTCCAGGGGTTCCGTCAAATCCTCTATCACCCTTTGGCCCTCTTGATCCAGGCAAACAGTCTGTACATTGACCACCCTTGTCTCCCTTTTCTCCCGTATGTCCTGGTTGTCCCGGAATTCCAGGCCGCCCTGCTATTCCTTTTTCTCCAGGCAACCCCGGCACACCAGGAGCTCCATGAATACCTTCCAGTGCATCGCCTGGTATACCTCTGGCACCAGGATAACCACGTTCTCCTTTTTGACCTTTCTCGCCGTCTTTACCTGGCAATCCATCATATCCTTTTGGACCCTACAAATTCTTTAAAAAGATAAACTGTTCTCAAAGTTGAACAAAGCATTACTGTCTTGCATTTTGTCAAAACTACCACATATGATACCGACCAAATTACACCTGCTAGATATCAACGAAAATAATTAGCAACTACTACGATGAAAATGAAAATATAATTTATAATTAATTTAGAAAGCAAATGGCACAGATATTGCAGTAGTGACTCAAATAGAAATTCAGTAAACTCTATGTCCCATTTATGTGAATATTTAACCTTACAGCTTAAGAGCACACAACAAATCTCTTTCATGTTTATTTGATATAAGATAAACGTTTACTTACGATTATAGATAATCCTTTTTCTCCTGGAAATCCTCTAGGACCTTCCGGTCCTGGTGGTCCTGGAAAACCACGTGGGCCTTCACCACCAGGAAAACCAATCGAACCAGATTCTCCCTTTTGACCTTTATCGCCCGGTGGTCCTTCAAGACCTGGTCTTCCTGGTTCTCCAGGTCCTCCTAAAGGACCAGGGGGTCCTCGGGGTCCGGGTTCTCCAGGAAAGCCATCCATGCCTTTCGGTCCTATTGGACCTGGATAGCCTCTTGGACCAGCAGGTCCTGGTGGACCTGGCCGACCTTTACCACCTCCAGGTGGCCCGGGTGGCCCTCTTAAACCTGGAGCTCCCATAGGACCGTCTCGTCCAGGTTCTCCTTTTCCACCTGGCCTACCTGACAATCCTGGTAATCCGTCCGAGCCTCTGTCACCTTTTTGACCGATGGGACCAGGTGGACCGGGAAATCCATCACGACCCTTTAAAAATGTAAATTTAAGTGAAAGGCACGAAAAAATATTCAGTTATGTGGTCTTACTCTCGATCCTGGAGCACCAGGTAAACCTTTTTCTCCTTTTGAACCTATTGGACCAGGAAGTCCATAGTCCCCTTCCGGTCCTACTTCGCCTTTTTGTCCCTTCGGTCCGAAATCACCCAAGTCGCCCTTATCCCCTTTAGCTCCTTTTACCACGAACGTTGTGTTACTTCCTATTTGATAGGTATGCGAATCGCCCTTGGGACCAGTAGAACCCTTTTGCCCTTTCTCGCCTTTTGGGCCATCAATACCAACACCCATATGTCCTTTAGGACCTTTTAATCCCGGAGGACCTCTAGGACCCTAACCAATGCATTTTAGAATAATACAAAAAGTTATATAAAACTACACATACTGGCAATCCATCTTCGCCTTTATCTCCAGGAAGACCGGCAATACCGCTTGGTCCGGGTGGTCCAGGAATTCCCGGTACTCCATTTAAACCTGGTTCTCCTTTTTGACCCTTTAGAGTTATTTCACAATGTGCAGGTTCTCCCTTATCGCCTCTCACTCCTGCAACTCCTGGAAACCCACGAGGACCAGGTTCTCCAGGCTCTCCAGGAAGCCCCGGTAATCCCTGAAATGTGCTACTGTCGAGTACATTTTAGTAAGATAGTTTATTTTGTCTTACATCTGTCCCGTTACATCCATCCACTCCTGGTATACCTGGTGGTCCAACAGGACCAGGCAATCCTGGAAGACCACTAATTCCTGTGAAGCCAGGCACACCTGTCCTTCCCCTGTCACCCTTGGGTCCCCAAGGACCCGGCGGTCCTGGATCTCCTTTCTGGCCCTTCGGTCCCATAACTCCTTCCGGTCCTGGATAACCGGGAAATCCTCTTTCTCCGGGAGGTCCTTGTTCACCTTGCAAACCCTAAATATGAATGTAGCTGTAATTATTTCATACTTAGAAATAAATAAATAGTATGAAAGTAACTTGCCCTATCTCCCTTCTCTGCAAAACACTTAGGAATGCATTTTTCGTTCCGGTTCTGCGATGGATTTAAAACATCTAATATATCATAGCTGCTGCTTCCACTACCAGTAGATGGTGATACATTATTTAAATAACTTTTTGATTCGTAATTGCCGTAAATATTATTGTAAGGATTCCTGTTGGTATTTTCTGGCACCTCAGGTCTTCTATAATTTTCGTAATGTTTCCTGTTATTCCTATACCCCCCTGTCGAATTGAACGAAGTCCGATTTGCAGTCGGAAAATATTGAAAATATTGCTGAAAGAAAGACAATGAAAACAATAAATTACTTGTAAATTCTTTATTTTGACGGTAAAATATATTTTCATTAAAATTCCAATACACAAGCCAGCGGGGCTGACTTTTTACCGCTATTGGACGAAATATTGCAACGGTACTTGACTTGATTTCGTGCAAAAGTTGTTTTATATAAAATTTAAAATTANTTATTATTAACGAATTAGTACACAAACATACGCAAACTTTTACTACATTGTAAAAAATCTTCTCAGATGCAAACCTGAAATTGTTATTTCATATTCATGAGTGAGTAAACTTCAATCCTTTTTTTTGCATTGCTTTAATGTCGCAGAACGTCGTTCATAATGAAGTCAAGGTGCAAGTGGTAAACCAACTAATAAAAAGCTGCTATATGGCATTTAATGTTAATCTACGTAAATACTTGGGTAGTTTTTAACAAAAAAAAATTTCAAATAAAAAAAACTGACTGTTCTAATCGGAAAGTAATAAGTCTTAAATTAACACCATTTAAATATTATGATGTTATGAATAAGTACGAAATTCCCATCCTATCTTCTTTTGTCCTAGTTTAGGAGACTGGTTCACGACATTTTGTGATCGATGGTTTAATCTATTTTCATTAAATAAATGATGTCAAAACAGACTTTATTGATGCAACAATGAACGACTGTTATAAATCAATATAAATAAAGTGATAATAAAAAGAATTTTGTTTTGGCAAAGGCTAATTATTACAATAAATCTTCAATGTTGTCAATATAAGCATTCAGGCAAGCACGAAGGTATTTATATTATTTTAAAAAAAATTCAATGGAGTTATTTTTCCACAACCGTCATTAAGGAAATTAAAAAAGACAACTGCTCAGTAAGTAAATAATATGCGACACAAAAAGCGTCTACATACTTTCACAAAAAAATCTTTATAAAATATCAAAGTTAATTAAGCAAAAGGACAACAAAAAGATGAAAGGTCATTTTCTCTTCATTTTTATGCACAACCGTTCAAGTTAACATACAAAAAAAAACCAATGCGATGCACCACATAAAATATGCAATGTACAGTTATAAAAATGAGCTTTAGTATGCGGTTGGTGCATATATTATACAACTGGTCCAACTGGTGCAATATTTCTCTTTCTGTCAAAAGATAAGTATGCCCATAGCTGTGGTTTGCTTGAGAAAATAATATCTTCTTTAAATGGTAATCAATAGAATTGATTAAATTTAGACAGATATGCCTTGCAGTAAATTATAAGAAGAGAGATAAAATATGAGAAAGAGATTACAGCAAGGACGAGGGAAAACTGGGAAAAAGGATGGTTAAGGTAGGAAATATGGAATAGGGTAGGAAGGTAAAATAGATACAACAGGAATAGCGATAGAAAATCAAGGGATAGACCAAGAGAAAATAGATCAGTGGAGAGGAATGGGTAAGAACAAGGCTCTAGAGTAGTAGTAGTAGTAGTTTTTCTTTGGGACAGTCTGAGTTGATGGTCAACAATTCATCAAAGCTACCAAACGCAAATCATGACTTTCAACCACATATAAATTTGTGCTCATCAGCACTCCATAACATATTGCCGCGTCCATATCTAATCTTCCTTTTACAGAATAACTTTTACGTTTAGCCAGTAATTTATCGAGACTACGTACGGCGTACTGATGAGAACAAATAAGCGCCCACAGGTACTCTTCAACTAGTGGCTTCATTTCGTATATCTCTCCTAAATCACCCCCCCCCCCACCACAGGAGACGGAAGAAACCTTAAACATGCAAATTTTTTTTTTAAAGAATTGATTATTTAGGAACACTTACACTTCTGCAGTGCCCTAGAAAGACAAAATAGGTAAACAGTAAAAAAAAAAGTTGTAACACGAACTAATTATTTCTTTATTTATTTATTTTATTAACATAGATACGGTGATGGTTTGTTAACAGTCGGCAAACTTTGTTTTAGTACCAAATGCGACCAAGTGCATAATGATTTATTCAGATTTATTTCTAAGTGGTTCCAAAACAGTAAATGCGTTCAGTAGAAACAGATGGGACACATGTAATAATTAGTCGGTTGTGACGCGTTCTTCTCCTTGAAGAACAACAACACATCAAAGCAATCGCGTGTGTTTGGAATCAGAATTGTTTAAAGACGATGCTGATCTCATGTCAAGTTATACGACTCGAAGTGGGTGGTTTTGAATGCCAGTTTGGGTGTAATTTTTTGTGCCACTATTAATAAATAAAGTGCGGTAACTGCAGCCGTCAGTTGTCGAGTTGCGTTGCACCATTTACTGTAATAATGACATCCGAGCTTGTACTATTATTATTTAATAATTCGTAATTTCTTGAGGGTCATGCCGTGCTTTAAATAGCCGGAAAATATTGTTTGATAAGTAAAAATAGTTGTTGGATTTCTTTTTCGCGGAATTTCCGCCTTACACAGTTATTAAGCATTGGAATTTTTTTTCGTTTTGTACTTGCTTTATTTTGTTTAAGTATTTCTTAATAGTTTTAATTTTTCATTAGTTTTATTTTAAGATTCAGTCATTGTTATTTTGGTCTTTTATTACCGGGAAATGCAAGCAAATTCTTCGGTAATTTTATTGAAATTTACTGTTTTAATAAAGGATGTACGTTACAAAAATTGTGCTCTAGTTTTTGAAATTTAAAATAGCCCATGACCTACCAGCTAACGTCCTGCACCGAATATCAAAAATATTACATCATCTTCAGTTCGAAATGCATAGTTTTTACGATCTCGTTAGTTAATTGCAAAAAATGACACCATATTAAAAGCATTTTATGCCAGAGTTTACAAACAAAAGAGAAATCCCAGGGACGCCGGCAAATTGAACTAAAATAAGTTAAACTATAAGCAAACTTTTTCTGTTAAAAATTATTGAACGCCTACTAAGAATGCGACAAAAATTAATTAGCTAATAGTATTGTACAAATGCAAAACAATGAAGAAACATGCCTTAAAGTGTTATTATTTTTTAACAACTTTGGAACTTGCCCAGTTAAATACTTCACTCAATGAAAGCGTTAATAAATTATTAAATTAACTGTCACTGATTCAAAATGGGCCTATGTATTCTAAATTTTGCAACCTAAAGTCAATTATATTGATTGAGTCACGCCTCCATGTCAGTTTTCAATAAAGAAGAAGATGTCTATAGACAGTGACTGACCAAATATTAATTTTTCATATTTTTAACATTACCAAGCAGGTAATTTAATTATTACAACGAACCAAGTGCACGTGTCAAAAAGATGTTTACATAGCCGATCATTGAACTTGGGCTGCTGCGTTTTTTCTCATTTACGTGCCACGGTGCACTACTGTTCTAATTTTATATGCCTTATATAATCTCTGATTGTATTCCATTATGTTCGTATTCACAGCTGACTTGATTACATTAATACAATAACTCGTAAAATCGGTCGATTTTCAACTCAAGTGCACGGCGATTACCTATCAATTTAATTATTATGAATTGATTATTGTCAAAAGAATTAAATGAATATATTTGAGGAAAAACAACAGAAGTTATTAATAATGGCTAACTCTACAAAAAAAAAGTTCTTTAAAAGCGTTTTAACCAGTTAGAAAAATCGTCAATTGATGACGAGCACCTACGAGCTTTTAGGTTAGACTTTACATGTTAGAAAATATGATAATAGAAAACAGGTCGCTTGTATAAACTACTTTTTCATGTAGTCACCCTCCAAATGGGTCATTATTAATGTGTCACTAACTTCTACAACTTCAGTCAGTTTTGTTGGTCTTTGGAAACAGGCCAAGGCAGGCGGGTCATGCACAAATTATTCAAAGTGTCTTCCTCGCTCGTATTTAAAATTAGCAACAGAAATAAGCACGTAGGGATAGAAAATAAAAAACTTAAGACTTCAGAAGAAAAATAAGACTGCATAGTGCAATTTTTGTTAATAAACTATTACTTTTACTCGATCTTTAATTTCGTCTCTTATTCGAGGTATGTATAAGAACTTCAATTAATTAATGTTTTCGATATTTAGAATCTTATATTCAAGTAATTTTACGAAATTCGTTTATAGTTTATACTAATAACCATGTATAGCACCCAATAAATTATAAACAATAGTGCAATCCCTCGTATATTAGCGATAATCTCCGGAGATATCGATGATGCGTTAAGCGACAAACCCGAACGGCAATACGCGTAATATTTTTATGGGGCAGTACAATACATGTCTTTCACCTTAATTATATCGAAAAGTCCATTAAAAGCTTGGAACACATAATTCTAGGGATGAATATCAATTTATTTGAAGTATTTCGGCAATTCTCGAAATATAATAAGTAATAAAAAGCACAGGTGAAAATATATTAACAATTTATTTAAAATCATTGCACAATTAGACAAAATAAAGCTTTTCAATATTATTTATAATATACTCACCGCTGACACGTATGTCACCAACCCCAAAATGGATGCTACATGCCTGCAAAAAATCATAAAACAAAAAAATTACAAAATTATAAAATTTAATAAACAGATATTTATTCGGTTGTTTATGAAAAGATAAAAAATGCCCTTATCGAAGAAAAAAGAAAATCGATAAATAATCATTAATTGAGAAACAGACAGTGTACTGCTTTCTGTTAGGTATTTTTCGCTGCTAACAACTTATTAACGGTCTTTAAGAATAAATAAATTAAACTTGATCTTCAGAAATGCAATTATGTGTTGTATACCCTTTCGGCAGACTAATATACAACTTACGTAATCAGTATGCATCACGTAGACTATAATTATGTAAATTTTGGCATGAAAGGCTTGCCAAAAAACGATATGACCCTCGAGAGATCTCCGTAAATTTTAAAACTGCCTACATCAAACATAAATTGTGATACGAGTCATGATATACGTACATAAACTTATGGCCTATATTAAAAAAAAAAAGATAAGACAAAGACAATTAATAATAATTTACTTATATACAATAAATAATTTATACATTAATTATTCTGACGAACCTTACAAGATAACAGTATGCACCTATCAGAACCTGAGATATGTTTAATGTCAACAGTAAACAGAAACTTGGAAACTTAATACTGAAAACAATTATCTAAGCAATTATGAAGGAAATGTTGAAGGTAGAGGCCACAGTCAGACAGTTTCAATTGATTCAGCAAAATACGATACGATATTTTTCAATCATCTATAGGTACAAATTCCAGTCAGAAGATTTCTGAAAGCTCCACATTATCAAAGAAATAAAAAAATTATAAAATTGCGAACAAGCACATTCTTCCATTGAAAACAGTTACAGAAGGAAACAATACTTTGCTTTGGAGGTATTTTGCATTTATAACCATTATCAAAAAGTTTCAGCCTCGAGACTGGTTGGACTCGCACCTCGACCTCCTGTGTAGCGAATTTCAAAAACTGTAATTCAATCTAGATCTACCTCTACTCCTCTTAACTCCTGTTTCAGCTTCTAATATGTCTTTCAATAATCTTTAATTTCCAAGATGTCCTACCAGTCTATCACGTGTATATTTCTCAGCGCCCTCTGCTTTCCCCTGCTAATTTCTAACCTTTTTATCCACGATACTTTTAGCATCCGCCTATTACACCACATCTTTTCTAATAAAAAAAATTATGAAAACATGAAGAAGACCAGAAATATGGACCAATTAATAGAAGAAATCTATGTTCTCTAATGAGATAGGTAGGATCTAACTCGAGCAAGAAATTCCGTTAAAAAAAAGAAGAAAATTGATAGTCATCTCTAATACAAAATATATAGATACCTATATACATATATAAATTATTACAACTAAATTAAGATTAGGTATTAGATATATAAAATTTCCCTCTTGGAAATAATTCTGGTACCGTCCATGAGATGACTTAAAGGCACAAGAACTGGGTCGGATCTGTTACATACCTACATGGGTAAATATGTGTAAATATATATCTTTGCTTAAGTAGCTTGCGGAAGACTAGTACCATATGTGCATAACCCATATGTATACAGAGATTTATTAACTGGGAAGACATAACAGAAATCCCATACAAATGTCTGGCAATAAGATTGTTTACAAACCCATTACATTCGCAAATCTTTCCCACTTATTAAAGCCCTGATGACAGGCAAACGTCTTTAAAAATCTCTGGTCGTTTATTAAACAGCTTACTGTAAAAGTGGAGCTTTTTCTCCAGTAGATTAAAATTTAAAGACATTAAACTATTCGTAACATTATATAAAGCAAGTGACACTAATTTTTTAACATAAGAAGTTAGTTCTACGAGACTGCAGTATCTGGATTTGATAGCCTTCGTCTGGAGTCGGCTCTCCCTTCTTGCTGCGATTGAGCTTTCAGCAGTTATATCTTAATTTCATGAGGACGTCCGCTACAACATCAGACGAAACGTTCAATTGACAGCCCCATCCGCAAACCTACCGAAAGGGGAGAACCAATTCCAGACCATGGTTATCCAACCCAGTTACCAACTTCACTGTATAAAATTTCAGTACCTACATCTGAAATGTTATTTTAATTTTAAATCCAGTTACTTCTGCGTAATTAAGAGTGAAGAAATAAAAGACCAGTGTAACACAATGACTGATTAGTATGAGCCCATTTTGGTCACATCTTAGATACCGACCTCCTACAGTTCGTACTCTTTTGTGTGGCCTAACACTGTCAGTAACACATCCTTTTTGATATCCTTTGACCATCACCTAAACTGTTCGGTCACCTTTATACCTACTGGTTTTGACCTGTCAACATGTTTCTACATTATATGTTGATATTGTCCGCAACATTAAACTATTAATATATAATAGTAGATAAATAATTAATTGAATTTGTATGAGAACCGCAATTTTTTTTCAATCGTCGTTGTCAGCTTTTTGTGCCTGTAATGAATGAGTTAATTACTACGTACGCATTTGTCAAAATGAATGTTAAGTTGCATATCGCAAGCTGTATTCTGTCATTCTTGCAATTATGATAAGAAAATATTTTACTCAATGAAACTTCCGCTTTCGATGAAGCTAAAGGAAGGAAAAAAGATTATTCGGCCGATGTTCCTACGACTTTTAGGTACTATAATATTGTACATCATCGTTAAAACTATTCTGAAATAAATGGCATGTAATGGATCGATTCATTTGTAAAAATTGTTTAAAAAAGAAATTTCTGGCAGACGCCGTCTTACCGGAAATTGCGAAAACAAATTTGGTTTTCTGAATAACTTTGCTGAAATAGTTGACATAAAGACACAGTTGTTTTTTTAGTAAAAGTTATAATTATTATTAACGAATTAGTACACAAACATACGCAAACTTTTACTACATTGTAAAAAATCTTCTCAGATGCAAACCTGAAATTGTTATTTCATATTCATGAGTGAGTAAACTTCAATCCTTTTTTTTGCATTGCTTTAATGTCGCAGAACGTCGTTCATAATGAAGTCAAGGTGCAAGTGGTAAACCAACTAATAAAAAGCTGCTATATGGCATTTAATGTTAATCTACGTAAATACTTGGGTAGTTTTTAACAAAAAAAAATTTCAAATAAAAAAAACTGACTGTTCTAATCGGAAAGTAATAAGTCTTAAATTAACACCATTTAAATATTATGATGTTATGAATAAGTACGAAATTCCCATCCTATCTTCTTTTGTCCTAGTTTAGGAGACTGGTTCACGACATTTTGTGATCGATGGTTTAATCTATTTTCATTAAATAAATGATGTCAAAACAGACTTTATTGATGCAACAATGAACGACTGTTATAAATCAATATAAATAAAGTGATAATAAAAAGAATTTTGTTTTGGCAAAGGCTAATTATTACAATAAATAAATGGCAATTATCTTGACGATCATCTTGAGAATAGGCCGTGAAATTGAAATAATAATAATAATAGCATATAAACTCCTTATTAATATATTACTAATTAATAGGATGATATACAGTGTGATACAAAAGTAAAGCAAATTGTAATTAATTTACTGTTATGGTATATATAACTGTAGTACTGTCTGTAAATCCGGCCTTCCTAAAAAGACATTAGACTTTGACTTCTTATTAGCAAGTAATTGTAAAAAATTCTGTAGATATCTACGAACTCTCCAATTAAAAATAAATAAAATAAGAAATAAATAAAATT